GAAACCATCTCCCCATCTTCAGCCATGGGCCTCTCTGCACCATTCAAAAGCACCGGAAACCTCCAATGGGTCCCTTCACAATTTGTCAGAAATACTCCCTTGGTTCCTAGGGTATAATTTTCTCTTCCTTGCTCAAGAAGCGATCACATTTCTTCTCAGTTTCCCTCTCCCCAAAATGTGATAAACCTTTTGTACACTGACCTCTTTTTTCCTTTCTTTTCCCTAGTGATTTAGAACATGTATTTTTTTAAAATTTATTTATGCGTTCAAGAACTTGGTACAGGCCAGAGGTGTGGGGGGTGAGAGGATTCACCAGAGACAGAGTGGGGAGCAGAACAGGCAGACTAACTGAAATACACTGCTGAGGGGAGCAGCGGGCGAGACAGGAGGGGTCTGCTGTGCCATATGGGTAGCTTCCTGGCCGGGGATCAAACTCACGCCGCAGTGGCTGCAGTTAGCTTCATAGGCTGCATCTCAACCCCTTGTGCCACCAGGGAGGCCCAATTTAGAACACATATTAATTGATTTTAATATGGATTCCCCCCTAGTGGTTATTACATAATTTTATTGATATATTTTTAATTCACTACTGGGTTTGTGTTTAGGATGAGAGAGGACATAAAAGTGAATCCAGGTATAACCTTGACTAAGCTCCTTCTATGCCATACTTCAAGTCCAGGAAAGCTCAAAAGCCAGCTGCAAATAATTTGAATGACTGTTGAAAGCTATGTGGAAATCCTCATGAAATTAGAAATCAAAATCCCATATGATCCTGTTATCCCAAATCTGGACATTTACCTGAAAAATACAAAGACACTAATTTGTTCCTTGCAGCATTATTTATAACAGTCAAGAGCTGGAAACAACCTCAGTGTCTACTGACAGATGATTGGATAAAAAGGATGTGGTATAGATACATAACGGATACTACTTTGCTATTTAAAAAAAAGATGAAATGCTGCCATTTACAATGTCGATGAACCTGGCGAGTATGATTGTAAGGACAGGAACAGGCACAGTGCAGGTTTTCTGATCCCATGCAGACCGGGTATAGGAGGAGTCAGAGTCCTCAGTGGTTTTTTGCAGGTCTTTTATTGGGGTTCAGCGGGTATGTGGCAGGCAGGGGTGCTGGGGGGCTGGGAGGCCTGCCAGCCTCCCAGCCCCCAGGAAATCCTCACTCTATCTGGACTCTCTGGCATTCTCTGCTTCTCGGCCTCTCTCTCGGCTTCTGCTTTGGCTTCTGCTGCTGCTGGCGTCCCCGTGACGCCGCCCTTAAAAGCACAGTCTTAGCCCAGGTGAATCCCATCTACCTATGCCCACACCCTATTCCAGGTGCCGCCATCAGGCATGCATTCAGGACAAGATCCATCATCTATCCTGATGGCGGGAGGGCAGAAAAGCCTGACATTTTCTTTACCCTACAATGATGCTTAGTGAATAAGCCAGAGAAAGACAATTATTTCACTTATATGTGGAATGTAGTGAAAGCAAACAAATGTATGGACTAATCAATAAAATAAATGTAGAGTTTTGAGATGAGTTGATGATTACCAGGAGGTAAGGAGGGAGGAGAGAAGAGGATTTAGTGAAAGGGGAAAGATGGTGTAGTGAAGGATAGAATTGGACTTTAGTGGTGGATTTAATGTAGTTTAAACACATTGGTTTTTAGTAATCCACACAACTATATAGTGTTATGTGTTACTTCAATAAAAAATAAGATAAAATAAAAAATAACCATGGTCCTTGAAGAGGAATTTTATTGTACCAGATATGTGCTATCTAGAACAGTGAATGTAAGCTCCCAGAGAAAAAAATAAATTTAACTTTCACCACATAATTTTTGAAATAATCAGAGCTGTCCCAGGGGGTCAGAGCTCATACAAACTCTAATAACCTCTTCTCTCTTATGCTGGAGACCAGCCCCAGCTAGAAGTATCAGGGGTCTCAGAGAGGAGAGGATGGCGTCGGCCAAGTTTTCTCTCGGAGGACTGAAGAGAAGTGGAGCGAGGTAGGAGTGAGGTAGACACAGACACCTTAGTTCGTGCAAGTATCTCCTGCTGAGGGTCTCAGTGGGTCTTTATACCTTAAGGCAAGCGGTGGGATTCCATCAGCGTAAGCATTGAAGCAGAGCAGAGACAATACATATTTTCTCATGATCATGGAAAGACTCCCTTGGCCTTACACCTGTAGGCCATTTTTTGGTAATCTAAGAACAATTAGTTTCCTAGGTGCAGCTCATTTACTAGCATGATCAACTGTATAACATTTGGCAACATTTAAACTTTCCCAAACATGGGTGTAAAATTCCTATTCTATATCCAATGACTGAAATCAATCTATTTCCTAGCACTCAATTAACTTGGTTAATATTTTTATCACCTCAAAGTGCTTTAAAACAATTCATCAGATCTGCGTAAGTTCTACTGAAGTCTAACTCTAAAGTAGAAATTCCTAACCTCCACCCGGCCTGCGAATTATTGACCTCATACTCCAGGAAACAGGTACCTCCCATGTTAGGCTATGGTTTCCAAGCACAGCTGGTTCAGGTCAGCTTGTTCTCCATAGTTCTCAGGGCCAGGACATTTCTATCCTAACTATACCTAAAACAATTTTTTTTACTTCTTTTGTGATAGTTCATGGTAAGAACAATAAGCCAATTGTCACCTGGGTCCAATTAGGTTTTCACATGCCAGTTAATAACTAACTTACTTCAGCATTGACCAAAAACAAAGAGGAGAGCATTAGCAGGCGTTGCCATGGAGACTCCCTAGTTCAGATCTTCTTTGGGAAGTGTAAGAACTTCCTTCTTCTGGGAAGTACAACTTTCCCTCTTTGGGGGAGCACAGGAACTCCCCGCTTCTCGGGAGTCTCCCCCAATGCCCGGACCTTGTCAAGAGACAGCATGGGAGGCGTGACCTGCTGCACTCTTATGCATTCTAAAAATAAGACAACACTTTTGTTCAGGTAATTCCCTTCAGATATCCTGGGAGCTTGGTGGGTATTGAGTTACTTGAATGAGTAACTTTTTTACCAGATTTTTCTGGTCAATTAAACTCAGGATCAGAGGCCAATATAAAGGTTCTTTCATTATACCTGCAAAACCTTGGGCAGAGTTAATTGGAGTTAAGTGCCCAGTTAGACATCAAATTTATTCGACTTGGTGTGAAGGAGGAAGGCTAATTTAATGGTTTTAGAGGCCAAAGAATGGGTTCAAAATGCAACTCTAATATTTCAACACCTACTCCGTTGATCTTAGGCAAGTTGTTTAGCCTCTCCAAACCGCAACTCCTTTATCTGTAAAATGGGAATACACTTCACAGGATGGTTGTAAAAATCAATTGAGATTTCACATAGAGTGTCAGCCGGTGAGGCTGGAAGACACCGTCAGTTGCTTCTCTGTAATCCTCTCTGGTGCTGTCAATCTTTGTTGCCACTAATGAGAATGCACAGTAAGAAGGAATATTAAGAATTTTAAGGGCCTCCCTGGTGGCGCAAGGGGTTAAGACACAACCTATGAAGCTATTCACAGCCACTGCAGCATGAGTTCAATCCCCAGCCAGGGAGATACCCATATGGCACAGCAGACCCCACCTGTCTCGCCCGCTGCTCCCCTCAGCAGTGTATTTCAGCCAATCTGCCTGTTCTGTTCCCCGCTCTGTCTCTGGTGAATCCTCTCACCCCCCATACCTCTGGCCTGTACCCCAGTTCTTGTATGCATAAATTTAAAAATCTTTAAAAAAAAAAGATTTTAAAAATTATTCTGTGAGAACAACCCCTACCCTCCCAATACTGTAAAACACACTGGATTTTTGAGTCTGGAGATGGCAGGCTCATTCTATCACTAAGTCACAGCTTAGTGAATTTTGAGTATAGCCTAAACTCCCTGAGCTTTAGTATGCTAAAATGAAACAAAATAGTAACTCAATACAAAATTATTAAATGAATGAGTACCAAAATGGAAAAAATCATTCCCAACGGAACAAACCACAAAAAGCCAACCTTTTGTCTCAGCAAAAAATAACTAAAATAACAGAAGTATGGAGGGAAAATCAGCTTTTCAGCCAAGAGAGCAGTTATTGGAGAGACTCGCTGATGAAGTCTCCCTGAGGGTCAGATCCAGCCAGGCCACGTCCCAGATCAGGCCCAAGATCCACGCAAGAGCAACAGGCAGCTGAAGCCAGGCCTCCGTGTGGGCTTCCTCCAGCTCCCACACACAGATGACAGCTGTCCCCAGCTGGGATGCTCTCCGCCCCTCAGGAAGCGAAGCTCTCCATTTCCAGAGGTGACAAAGCACAAATAGACAGGGCCCTTACAGGAGAGGTTGAAGAAATAGCTTTTCTATTATTGTGGGAAATTTATCGCTCCCTTCAACCTGTGCAGTTGACTTTTTGGGCCCTTAACTCCATCCTTGTGTCCACCTTTCAGGGAAGAAGCACATTCTGCAGACTAGTTTCCTTTATTGACAGCAGCCAGCAGAGTGTTTTGCAGACAATTGGCATCTGTTATGGTAGGTTCTGATCAATCAGCTGGTTGACTTTAAGGGCCTCCCTGGTGGCCTCAGGGTTAGTCTCAGCGCTATCACCACGATGGCCTGAATTCGATCCCCAGCCAGGGAGCTAACTCACATATGGTGCAGCAGACCTCTCTGTCTTGCCTTCTGCTCCCCTCTGCTCCCCACTCTGTCTCTGCTGAATCCTCTCACGCCGCTGTACCTCTCTGGTCTGCACCCCATACATACACACAAAAGGAAAAAATATAGTTCCTATTCATATATCTGGAGTGAGATACTTAATAAAAACTTAATGGAGTAATAATAGACACTTTTACGTTAAGTACTTTCCTGAAATAAAGAAATCATTGGAACTAATTTAGGCTCCATTCACTTCTCTGCTTCATCTTCAGCATTTCTTAAGTCATTTGCTCTTTTCTTTGGTAGGGAGTAGTATTCTGATGTCACAATAACAATACATGACATTTTGTTGAGTGAAGTCAATAAACATAGCTGACTTTTATAAATATCAACAACCATCCCAGGGGGTGAGTCTTTCCAGTCATTTCTTGTGAATGATTTTCAGTTAGTGTGCCTATTACCATTCCCTAGGATGTAATCTTTAAGAAGTCCAATTTAACTTGGCACTCCTAACCTCATTTTGGAATAAAAGAGGCCAATGATATCGCTAGACTAACGTTTCTTCCCTATCTTCACTTCTTTAAGAAAGTTGAATTGTTCCTTCTGAATAAATGAAGAGGGTGTTTAAGAATAAATACCTTCTTTGCAAGTAACACAAGGCATTTTTTAAAAATCTTATAGAGGCTAATTGCATCATAGTGCGGGCTTAACCCCTTGCACCACCAGGGAGGATTTATTTTGTAAAAGATTTATTTATTTATGCATACAAGAGCTGGGGTACAGGCCAGAGATGCGGGGGGTGAGAGGGTTCACCAGAGACAGAGTGGGGAGCAGAACAGGCAGATCTACTGAAATACATTGCTGAGGGGAGCAGCGGGCCAGACAGGATAGGTCTGATGCACCACGTGGGTCACCTCCCTGGCTGGGGATCGAACTCGTGCTGCAGTGGCTCAGATAGCTTCATAGTGCTGCATCATAACCCCTTGCACCACCAAGGAGGTCCATCTTAACTATTTGGTCCTTTGTCTGGAGATATTCCCAAGCCTCGAAGACCTGGAGTACTTATTTAGGCTGATGATTCTGCATAGGAACCAAGTAGCATTTTGGTTTCTAGGGAATGGCCTCACCTTTGACACAGGATGGAGATATGGTGTTGGAATGATCCTGTTCGGTGGGTTAGACTCAGGTTTTTTTCTTGGGACACGGCAGAATTTCAAAGGATGGGAAAAATAGGTCAATAGATAGTTAAGAGGAGATAAGACACACAGACAATTTCTTGGCCTCCAGGTTACCTTCCCTTTGAAAGATGGAGACAGACCCCCATACCAAGTTTGGGTTCCATGCCAGGAAGCTGGATGTTGCCATTCCAAGGGTAAAAGAGAACTGGAAAGGAGGCAGAAGATATGGGAAAGAAGAGGGTGTCATCCTGCAGGCAGGTCAGAGGAAGAAGCACCCCGAGTATATAAGAAAAATGTGGGGAGTTCATTAAAATATGTACTTTTAGGTTTTAGGAGATTCAGTTCAAGAGATTTTAAATGTCTAGGGTGAGACTTGATGGTGTTTTAAATATTTTCCATCTGATGATGATGCCACATTTGTAGACTATTATGGAAAGGCAAAGTTTGCATTTAAACAAATTAGGGTCTGATGTTTAGCTCTGGTTTTGAAAAAAAGATGAAGATGTTTAAAGCTAGGTGGTTACCTTTTCTCCCCTTTCAAGAGGCTAAACACTTTGGCATTCATTGCCCCAGGGTGAAAAGGAAATAACCTTCTAGTGTCGCCCTCCCCCCAACCAAAGATCTTTAGGGAATGAGCTACACAGGGAAAATGTTTGAGAATTACAGGTGGGGGTGTTCGGGAGGATGGGCCATCTCTAGAAAAAGAATATGTGGGCAGAGGGAATTTAGAGAGGGGGATGGGAAGACAAGAAGACTCAGGTGTTCTTTGGTCCTCTGGAGGAAGAAGAGAAACCCCAGAGAGTTCGCAGGATTTGAGGGTAAAGAGCCATGTTTCGGGGCCTCCCCGGTGGCGCAGCGGTTGAGCGCTGGGTTGTGAAGCTGCCCGCAGCCTCTGCAGCGCCGGTTCGATTCCCAGCTGCTCCCTGGCCACCAGAGGAGGGTCCCACATGGTGCGCAGACCTCTCCTGCCGCCCGCTGCTCCCCTCAGCAGTGTATTTCTTCAGTCTGCCTGCTCTGCTCCCCGCTTTGGTGAATTCTCTCACCCTCCCACACTTCTGACTGTACCCAGTGCATGTATAAACAAAAAACAAACAAATAAATAAATAAATAAAAAACATGCCTCTATTAAAAAAAAAAAAAAAAAAAGAGCCATGTTTCACTCCCCAAAGGCAAGCCCAGCAGTGCAATAAGAACTGAGAGATGGCGTGACTGCACCATGCACCATGCAGAGTCTTAAAGTGCTTCAGACAGGCTCTGGGGCCCAGCCTGGCATGGGGGCTGCGGGAGGGTGCCCGTGCTCGATAGAGCAGGAAAGGGAGAGAAAGACCTGGGTTGAGTGGGTCAGAAGACCAGGATTGAGAGGTGCCTTGGCAATCATTTGCATGGACAGGGGACTTCAAGAAATAGATGCTCTCCCTCCCCACAGCACCATGTAAGCCCTAATGTTACCGGGCAAGGTAAGGGGCACCCCAAAACCCCCACACCTGCCTGCTCTAAATAGGTTCTGCTATCGGCCACATTAAGACAGAACATACTCTAATGCATAAGACTTTTCATGGAAAGGAACTTTAATACAATTAGTTTTAGTGTGCAATTCAGAAAAGGGGAAGAATAAAGTTTCCAAATCAAGGACTCAAAGTTATGCACCCCCTCCTGGGTAAATGCCCAGCCAAACAGGGTTGGCCCAAAGTAGGGCCACTGAGACCCAAAAGCCAGCCCCAAGTCTAAGGCACCTCCTGGTGGGGATCCACAGGAGAGAGGCAGAAGGTGTCAGGCAAGTCTGGACAGAAAAGAGCAAAATCAACATCAAGATTAAGGCTGCTATTGTCAAGCTCACCCACTGTTTGTTTCAAGTGTCTCCTTCCATGTCCCCCAAGTCAGTGGTACAAGTCCAAGTCTGAGAAGCAAGCGCAGCTTCTTCACATGTCTCTGTTCCCTGTGATTCCTTCAGGACTCCTAGATGTCCTTCCTTCCTTCTCCCAGTCTTTTCCAGCTTCTCCTCCCTGGCCAGCTCCACCCTTCCTTGGGTGGGGCAGGGAACCAGGAACCTCCCCTTTCCCTGGGGAACACCCTGCTACACTAAGAACAACTGTGGAAAATGGGGTGAGGGTGTTGGTGAGTCCTGACATTTCTACTCTCTGGTGAAAAATATTCCATTGAGTTAAGGAGATATAAATTCCTATTTCTTGCACAGCTAAGTGTGGACTCAAGGCTTGTGTCTACTGCACCAGAAACAAATGAACCAAATTAAGGTGGTGACTCATGGTGACCCATTTAACAGCTTGGAGGAGGAGGGTCATGGGCTTACAGCTACAGTTCTTATAATTTTCACTCAATAGCCAGGATGTCTTAATACAAGCCGAAGATCACGTACAGGGTTGTAAATCACTTCACATACATGAACTCTCTCTATTTTAATTCAACATATTTTGAAATAGGGCAAAAAAGGGTGGTTGCCAGATTTAACAAACTATTCCTTGCAGTATTTGCTACACTGGGTTATATACTTGTGCTAAAAATTATTCATTATCCATTGTTTAGCTGATATTGAAATGTAACTGGCTGTCTTAGTTGTTATCTGGCTACTCACAAAGAAAGTAACTCATAAGGGGTCTGGGTTCCAATAAGAAAGCGCCCCTTAGTCCCTGATCTGGTTAGCAGTCTTGACGCCAGAATCCTGCTAAGGCGCTACCTAGCTGAGAGGCAGCTGGACAAAGCTCAGTGGACAGACACAGGGTTGTCAGTGGGTTGAGAAGCTTCTGTTCACACCTCAGGCTCCATTCCCTCCATTGGCCCATGGTCTGTGGGGAGGTCTGGGGTGCCACCTGGCTTAACATAAGGAGCACAGGGTTTGAAATCAGTCAGAGCCTATTTCTGTTATCTACAAGATGTATGACTTTGAGGAATGACTTAGTCCTTCTCTGCTAGACTATTCCTTAAAAGTCTTGCAGAGATGAAAGTTAAGGCATGTGAGGGACCCAACATGGTGAGAGGTAGACTGTGAGTCCTGCATAGTGTTAGCATTTCATGCATACAGATTCCTTGGTCTCTTCCTTGTGTCTGAAAGATCCTGCTTACTGCAGATTTGTCCCCTTGAAATCCTGGGTGTATGTCTCTCTGTCTAAAGCACACAGTACAATAACCTGGATTTTCATACTGAATAATCTATAGCCAAAGAAAGGAATGGCACCTACAAATTGTATTTGCATTCAAGAGTTGAGTGTCCTGGTCACAATGCCCCTGAGCCCAGAAAGTGGGGACAAGGCTGGTTTACCTGCAGCTTTTAAATTCTGTTAAATTATTTCAAATGGAGAACATACACTTAGTTTATACAGTACCTGATTCTAAAAGGAAATTTGTTTGCACAAGTACTACTCAAGTGCTAAAATTAGCAACAATGCTTCCACTTGCCCCTAAAGGCAGGCCCGTGTCATTATCACATTCCTATCTGGAAAACAAATGAGCCAGCATACAGTAAACATTTGTCAAATAATATCCCAAAGGTATGGCTTCAAAGTCTACCTTTTCCCTTTAGTTCATAGTCCATGTTTTGGAGGAATGGATCAGGGAAAGCATTGTCTTCATCTGAGTACATAGATGTGATTTTTTTTCTTTTTATGTCTGGCACTACAATTTTTTTTTTACTTTATTTCCTTATATCATTTTTTAAAGATTTATTTATTTATGCATACAAGAGCTGGGGTACAGGCCAGAGGTGCTGGAGGGGTGAGAGGATCCACCAGAGACAAAGTGGGGAACAGAACAGGCAGACTGACTGAAATACACTGCTGAGGGGAGCAGTGGGGAGACAGGAGAGGTCTGCTGTGCCATATGGGTTTCTCTCTGGCCAGCAGAGGATCAAACTCATGCTGCAGAGGCTGTGGATTGCTTCATGGTGCGGTGCTTAACCCCTTGCGCCACCATGGAGGCCCCCTTATATCATTTTTGTATAGTGTTTGATTTCTCCCTGCAGGTGGAGTCCCCATAACTCTCCCAACACCACAGCATCTGTGAACCGCCTGATACTGCAATTAGTGTATGTGGTAGATTGTGCTTGAAAATGAAAGGGGGTCTTCCCAGGTGGCCAAAGGGGTAAGTCTCAGCACTATCAAGCTATCAGCAGTCACTGCAGCAGGAGTTTGATCCCCAGCTAAGGAGCTAACCCATATGGCACAGCAGACCCTTCCTGTCTCTCCCGCTGATTCCCCTCAGCAGTGTATTTCAGTCAGTCTGCCTGTTCTTTTCCCTGCTCTGTCTCTGGTGAATCCTCTCACCCCCTGCACCTCTGGCCTGTACCCCAGCTCTTGTATGCATAAATAAATAAAAATAAATCTTTTTTAAAAATTTAAATACAAATAAAAGGGGGATATTAAAAGTGTTTTAACAATAAAAGATGGTTTCAACACATTCAATTCAAAGTATAGAACAAAACTCCATAATGCAAAAGCTGTTGAGGGAAATGGATTGTACAAAAACCCTGTGCCCCAATTATTCATCTATTCAATAAACATTTAACCAATTTATGCCTGATATTATGATATAAAGTGCCAGGAAGCCATGATGTGGCCACAAGGAAGGTCTTTTCTTTCTACTGTGCTATTTCTGAATCCTTCACTATTCACGGTGGTGGTCCCTGAGCACCATCCCTGTCAGGTACCGTTCATCTTTCCTTGCTTTCTTTCACAGCCTTTGAATTGGGGTCAACAACAAGCCAACCTGTACTCAGAAGACCATCTTATGGAAAGTCAACACACCCAAGGTGAGTTCATGTCAACCCTGGAGCTGGCAGGTTGTTTTGTTTTTTTTTTAAATATTTATTGTATTTATTTATGCATACAAGAACTGGAGTGTAGGCCAGAGGTGCAGGGGGTGAGAGGATACACCAGAGACAGAGTGGGGAACAGAACAGGCAGACTGACTGAAATACACTGCTGAGGGGAGGAGCAGGTGAGTCAGGTGAGGTCTGCTGTGCCATGTGGGTAGCTCCCTGGCCAGGGATTGAAGTCATACTGCAGTGGCTGCAGAGAGCTTCATAGTGCTGAGACGTAACCCCTGTGCCAACAAGGAGGCCCCTCCCCTGTTTTGGGTCCTGTTCCTCCCACTCCACTGCTGAATGCCTCAGATCTATGGTTTGCCTATAATTTTGTCTTTTCCTGACTTTTTGATCAGTTCCCCTACATTCCACTTATAACTGTAACCATCGAGTATTTATTTTTCTCTGACTTATTTCACTTAGCAAATCCCTTCCAGCGCCATCCATGTTGCCGCAGGTGACATGAGTTTATCTTTTTGATCACTGAGTAGTATTCCATTGTATCTCTATACCACATCTTCCTGATCCATTTGTCTGTTTTGGGGGCATTTAGGTTGTCTCCACATCAGCTAGTGTAAATAGTACTGTAATAAACACAGCAGTGTGAGTTTCCCTTTAAATTAGTGGTTTTTTGCCCTTTGGGTAGATTCCAACTGTACTTAACTTGAAGTTAGCACAGAAAGCTTCTAAAAACAATTCTGTTCTTTTTTTTCTCCATCTCAAGTTTCTAATATTTTTCAAATGATACTGTTCTAGTTTTGGATAAAGACAGTGATGGAGAAAAGTCAGCTCCCATTTGTTTGTTAGCCCAAACCTGGAGAAAAGGACGATGCTGGTGTCCAAGCAGGCACAGCTGCAAAGGGCAGGCCCCTGTCAGGAGTAGCGTTCCATTGTGGCACAGCCACCATAGCCAAAGGTGAAAACAGAAAAAATGCTTTTCTTTCCAACTGTTGGCTCCTGCGGCCCCTCCCTAGGTTTGTTCACTACCCTCATGTTTGATGAGTAATAGCCAGGCTGCATGGAACTCTCTAGTAGAAGAGAGATAAGGGATCACAACTCTCAAGTGCTAGCAAGCATGAAGCAAAAATCATTCATTAATCTCAGTTCTTCAGCTGGATGGGTGGGGCTAAATGCAGGTGTAGCTTGTCAGAAGTGCTTATGAGTCATTGCTGATTCACAGCCGGGGACCAAGTTTTTATGAGCCAGCAAGTGAAAAAGAGCTGGTTTAACTACTACTAATTTAAAGCGACTAAGCCTTGGCTTGGATTTAATTGTGGCTGGTAGAAGCTGTGTGCTGCTTGGTTCCGGCCTCTGTGGAGACCTATGGTCTGCTTTTTTGATGTTTTAGTATGATGCGTGTTATGTGTGATGGAATCTAAACCTTCCTGTGAGTGGGCAGTTTAAGGAGGCTTTCCTAACTGTTGCACAGTTGCCTTTGGTTTGGCAGTACCGCCTATTTGATGTTGAATATAGAATAATAGGTCCTTGATCACATTTGCATTGGATAATATTTGAAGACTTTTTGTTTGGTTTTGGTTTACGGTTTTGAAGAGAAAGCAGCATAACTGCGGTAGATCATTATATCCTACTGTCCTTAAAATGGACCCAAACAAGGTGAGATGTGTTGAGACATAGCTCCTGGCTTACAAGTATGTTAACTAACCATGATGTTTGGTTAATAGTGCTCTTAAATCAACCGTACTACCCATGATAATAGAGAATGAGGATGCATTAAATTCAGAATTTTGTTTCAGGCAATAGTCACATTTCTTTTGGAGAAGGAAGCTTATGAAAATAAGAACAAAGAAGTTTGACTTTGTTTCTACTCGCTTGGTGGTAAAGGTGAATGTACCAAATGGTGAACAAGAGAGGAAATGATTTGCACTGTCTATAAGCTGCTGGTATATTAACTTTTACTAAAACCGTTGGTTGTTGTAGATTAATGGGGAGTAGGAATTCCTAATGTAATCTTTTTTTTTTTTTTTTGAATTTTATATATATTTTACATCATTCTTTTTTTTTTTTTTAAATATTAAATTTTATTTTTATATTCCCCCATACAATTGCAAACGCCCCATTCTGACCCCAATCCTTCCCCCCCACCCCCCAAAAAGTGTCTCTGGTTCATAGTTTTTTGTTGATTTTTACATATACTTTGGTTAACTCACTACCTTATTGCTTAACGACTGCTAAGTGTTCATCTGAGCAAATGTGTCTGTATTTGCTATCAGAGGGAAAGTGTATGTGAGCTGTGTAGAAGTGATTTTTCATTTCTTGTATTTCACAACTTTTTAGGCCTTCCTTCAAGAACGTTAGTGTGGGAAGAATATTTTGGGTGACTCATTCAGGGATTTTTTTTTAAATTTTTGCACAGAAGAACTGGGTGTAGGCCAGAGGTGAGGGGGGGTAAGAGGATTCACCAGAGACAAAGCGGGGAACAGAACAGGCAGACGGACAGAAATACACTGCTGGGGGGGAGCAGCAGGGACATAGGAGAGGTCTGCCGTGCCATGTGGGTATCTCCCTGGCCGGCTGGAATTGAACCTGCACATCAGAGGCTGTGGACAGCTTCACAGCATTGTGCTCAACCCACTGTGCCACCGGGGAGGCCCAAAAGGGCTATTTTTTAAAAGATTTATTTATTTATACAAGCACTGGATACAGTCAGAAGCGTGGGAGAGTGAGAGAATTCACCAGAGCCAGAGCGGGGAACAGAACAGGCAGACTGACGAAGGACACTGCTGAGGGGAGCAGCAGGTGAGACAGGAGAGGTCTGCTGTGCCATATGTGGGTTAGCTCCCTGGCAGGGATCGAACTCAGGCCATCATGGTGACAGCGCTAGACTTTATCTCTTGGCCACCAGGGAGGCCCCTCACTCAGGGAATTTTTAGACTGCAGAGACCATGGTTAATTTTTTTCCAGAAGTAATTTTTGGAGAAAATATGAATGTTATCTTGACTTCCTAGTTCCTTATTTAAGAGCTCAAGCTATAAAAGTACGTAATCAATTTAGTTTTTGATTTGGCAGGAGCAAGCTGCTATCACTCCAGAGTTTACAACTTAGGAAAGTGAAGTCTATGGATTTTTCCTCCATATTGCCTGATTTCCAATCTAATATATTAGATATTAAATGCTAAACCAGTCCAAAAACATTCCATCTGAAAGTGCCTGTTTTTCTACCTTATGATGTTGTGAAGGCTTTGGAAAAAGAAAAGTGATAGCAATTGAAGTAGCCTGATACTTTTGAGAATTTCTCTCTGCCCATGGCCTCTTGGCTTATGAGATGGTTTAAACAGCATCCGTGGGTTTTTTTGTTTGTTTGTTCTGAGTTGTTTCTTTTTTTTTTTTTTTAAGATTTATTTACTTATGCATACAAGATCTGGGGTATACACCAGGTATGTGTGTGTGTGTGTGTGGACTGAGAGGATTCACCAGAGACAGAGTGGGGAACAGAACAGAAGGAATGACAGAAATACACTGCTGAGGGGAGCAGCGGGAGAGATAGGAGAGGTCTGCTGTGCCATTTGGGTTGCTCCCTGCCTGACTGGGGATGGAATTTGTGCTGCAGACTGCTGCAGAGACTGCAGATAGCTTCATAGTGCTTGCACCACCAAAGAGGCCCTGTTCTGAGTTATTTCTAAAGGAAAAATTGTACAAATGAAAAAGGATATTTTGGAGTTTACAAGGTATTCTTTAAATCTTTATACTCAAGTTTATTTCACAACAGGTTTAGTTTCAGATTCAAATTTCATTTGTGTTTTATAAATTTTGATGGCCTGGGTAATTTTTAAAACCATGTTTCTTAAATATGTGTATAAGAGTTAGCTGGTGATCTTGTTAAAATGCAGACTCTGATTGAGTAGGCCTGGGATGGGCAGAGATACTTGATTCTAACAAGCTCCTAGGAATTACTGCAGCTAATCCAGGAGGATTAGCAAGGGGCCAAGAGGTGGTGTTTAAAACTGGGTAGGTGCGCTTCACTGGTGTGTGATGTACACATTAGAGTTGTTAGCATGTTAATTAGTGGAATGTTCTGGAAAAGAAAAGTCTTGGTAAGCTAAGATCCAATCAATTTGAGCATTCTCTATAAATCTTTTTAAAAATAAAAAGACTTGAACATAAGGTAAGCAAATTGAGTTTTGCAAATGTTAGTTTTACATTACTTGGAAATTCAGTGATGAATCCAGTTTTTCAATGTAAGTGATGAATTATACTATAATAATTAAAAAAATAAGCCAATGGATTTATTGTGTAAGATGAATTCAATAGCATATACTTAGAATTTAGAATAGAGAGGCTTGGAGATGAATTATTAGTGTTAAGTGCTAATAATTATAAAGTACAATACAGTTAATCTTAAGAGAATTCAGTAAAAGGTAAAGTATAGTATACTATGTGGATAGAGGTGGTTTTACTATTTTGTACACCAACATAAACTATTTTGTTGAGAACCAACATAAAGTAGGTTCTCAATACATTTTTTAATAAATGATTTATTAATGTTTAGATTGTTAATTTATTATAAATATCCTCATTCTTCTTTATCCTTGATATCAATTGTTTTATTATCCAACTTTGTATTTGATTTCTGGGCCAAAATATATTTAATCCTAGTTGAATCATTAATTGTGTTAATGTTACTTGAGACTGATCTTCCTGATTTTGGTTATTATTTCTTCCACTAAAACTATTTCTATTCGGGATCCATACATTTAGGATATGCCTTAAGCTGTCATGAAATGTACTTAAGCACCTTTATGCAAAGACTAGTAAATATTGACATATAGTGTCAAGGAAGAAGAAAAATCTTATATGACATGTTGGAATCAAGCGATTTGTGTAATTAATAAGAATTTGATTTTATTAGTTAATTCATTTAGTCTTAAGTATTACTTTAGTCCCAAAAGACAGAGAGCAGAGCAAGTTAGTAAAATATAATGATGTACA